CGCGCACGATGGCCAGGATGGACTGCAGCGTGTTGCCGTAGATGATGGCGATGAACTCGAGGCACTCTTCCAGCGAGTACCCGTCCTGATGGATAATCCTGGGGCCCAGGCAGACAGGGTCAGCGCTTCGCGGGTGAGTGGGGAAGGACAGGCCCTGTGTGGGCGCCCACCCCTAGGGGCCTTGGGACGGGCAGGGCCACTCACTTCATCTGCTTGACGATGGTGCTCTTCCCGGACTCACCGGCACCTGCAAGGGAAGCGGCGCCTCAGAGCGCTCGGACGGCCTGCCCCCTCCCGCAGTGAGCCTCGGAAGATGGGGCCAGTCAGAGTTGGCTAGGTGGACCCACAGCGCGGAGAGATCTGGGCGTCTGCCGGACTCTCAGGCACATCTGTCCCCGCTCCCTTCGCCGCCCCCCATCAGTCCCCTGCCAATCCAAAGGAAGGTTCTGAAGCCCTAGCCGCAAAATGTTTGTATCAGGAAAGTGACAAAAAAGAGGACACTCAGGGAACCTCCACGACCTCAACTGTGCGGAGATGGGGGAGTCCCTAAGATCCCATAATGGCAGCCTTTATTATACTGTGAGACCAAAATAAAAATATCCTGGAGCGCCATCTTGTGAGAATATCTGGTACTGCACGCGCGGGATGACTTGAGACAGGCCAACCCCCGCTTTTCCCCCAAGATGCTGGGGGTGTCTCCAAGAGGCTCAGAGGGAATTAGTGCCTTTGAGTAGGGAAGAGGACAGAGTTGACATCCCTTTCGAGCCTGACCCTTGGGCACAGTTAATGGGATTTCCGGCTTAGCCTCTATGCCCTGGGGGGGGAGCGACTTGCTCTGCCCACTGCCAGCTGGTTGATGGGACCCTGAAGAGCTTGGGTGAAGTCTGCAGAGCCCTCTTAAAGCTGCCCTTTCCCCTTGGGAGGTCAAGAAGTGACCTTGAGGCAGGCTTGAATCATCCCCATCTCCCCTTACTACCCACGATCCCACAAACATGGCTTTACTTGTTGCCCACTGGGCCCCAGTGCCCCTCCATCCCCTTCTACTGCTTTGTAGGTCGACACACTATAAAGCTTAGGCAATTGAGAGCCATTCTTTTTTTGTTTTTTTTTTTTGAGTTGGAGTCTCACTCTGTCGCCCAGACTGGAGTACAGTGGCTGCTTCCGGCCACTGCAGCCTCAACCTGCTGGGCTCCGGCGATACTTCCGCCTCAGCCTTCCAAGTAGCTGGAACTACAGGCGCACGCTACCATGCCCAGCTAATTTTTTGATTTATTGTGGAGATGAGTTCTCACCAAGTTGCCCATGCGGGTCTCGAACCCACGGGCTCAGGCAATCCACTCATCTCAGTCTCCCAAAGCGCGGGATTACAGGCTGAGCCACCAAGCCCGACTGAGAGCCATTCTTTGTGGATCTGGGTAGTCCTAGAGGCTCCCCACTCCCAGGAGGACTATGATCTTCTTCCCAAAGGAGTAGCCCAGTTCGGGACTCCCAGTGAGGCCCCTGGCATCTGAGCCCTGCCCAGTAGGCCCACCAAACCAAAGGCTGCAACTTGAGGGAACCCACCAGGGCAGAAGTATGCCTCATACACACACTCGTACAAGAGTGTGGTTAGAACACACTTCTGGGGAGGGGAGGTTGCTGAGGCAGGGACTCCTGGAGAGGGGATACATGGGACACCTAGCCTTGAGGGACTAGGACACCACCTCCAAGCCTGGTCTTGCCAAGTCAGGATTCCCACCCTGTACCCTACCCTGTCCCTCAGGCCTCACACTTCTTTCTAAGGAACGCTTGCTTCACAGAAAGGCTGCCAGCTTGCCCCCAGGCCACTGACCTAGTGACAGTGGCCCCACCTGGGCCCATACCCCTACCCAGAAGCAGCAGTTTCACGGTTCGAGCATCCTTTTCTGCATCCTCTTTCAGCTTCTTTTCCAGCTCCCTGGAGTGCTTCTCCTCAGCGCTGGCACCAGCCCCCATGGTCCCAGCAGCAGGTGAAGGGACGGGGTGGGCAGGTGGCTCTTCTGGAGGGAGGGAATCTCTGGAACTAGGCCTCCCCAAAGACCCTTCTGGCCCTAGGAGGATCTGCAGTCAACTGACTCTCCACGAACCTATTCAGGCCCTGGTGGGGCTGCTTAGTGGGATTTGGGGGCTGGGGGTGTCCAAGAGCCAATCAGAGACAAGGACAGGTGAATCCAGCTCAGCCCCCCTCAGCCCTCCTAATCGGGCTGGCATGGCCCCAATCCCTCAACCGCTGACTCTGCGCCCTGGGGTTCTCCCCTCTGCCTCCCCACCAACAACCCTCTAGGAGAAGTCCCAGAGACAGTCCTACATCTGCCCCAGAGTAGGGAGACATGTTTGGTAGGATTAGGGTTGAGAAAGGGGAATATAGACCCTCAAGCCCTGGGGGTAGGGGTGATGAGGGTGGCGCTGGCAGTGAGAAGGCATATTGGGAGATGCATACATGGAGCCCTTGCTGAGCTTAGTATCACTCATTATCTTATTGTAGGTGCACACTGGTGCTGGGGGATGGATGCCCATATCATCAGCCTCATTTTACTGTTGAGGAAATGGAGGCTCAAAGGGTCACACAGCAGGAAGTGGTTAAGAAGGGCTGGGTAACTCTGGACCTGGGTTTCATACTCCACAGGCAGCCAAGAAGGAAAAGGTGGGCATCGCATGTGCCCCACGAGGGCTAGACCTGACCCCAAACACAGCCTCTACATGCTTTCATGCTTCCAATGGACTCTGGTGGGCACATATGTCTATCGTTATGTGTCTGTCCTTTACTGGAACAAGCAAGCAATGATGACATGTTTGTGCATCTATAGCTTTGTGTACACATGTGCCTGTGTATTTGTGCCTGTGCATCATTGTGAATGCATGTGCTCTTACGTGAGTTGCCCATGTGTGCATGCTTGAGTATGTACATGCATATGTATATACCAGTGTGTGTATATGCAGATATGCCTTTACACTCTTCTCTTCATGCACACATGGGCTTTAGTATATATTTTGCAGGGCTTGTGGGGGTTCATATATGTGCATATGTGTGCTTGAATGCGCAAATGCATGTACGTGTCATTCACGTTAGTGTGCACTTGCCTTGTGCACATGTGTGAACATGACTGTATGTACCCAGGCATGTTTGTGTGTATACATTTATGCATGTGTATGTATGTACTGTGCATACATGCTTGCATGTGCCTGTGCCTGCATGTATGTGTATTTGGATGCAACAGTCTCTGATCTGCAGAGGTGGCCAGACTCCTCCAGAAAAAAAATTTTTTTTGGAGTTGGAGTCTCACTCTGTTGCCCAGGTTGGAGTGCAGTCGCATGCTCGCAGGCCACTCCAGCGTCAACCAGCTAGGCTTCAGCAATCCTTCCACCTCAGCCTAACTACAGGCCCGCGCTACCATGTCCGGCTAATTTTTTATTTATTGTAGAGACAAGTTCTCACCAAGTTGTCCGGGCTGGTCTTAAACCCGTGGGCTCAGGCAATCCGCTTGCCTCAGCCTCCCAAAGTGCTGGGATTACAGGTTCAGCCACCGAGCCTGGCCCAGAAAATGTTTTGCAGGCCCGTTATCAGATGGAGAAACTGAGTCGCAGAGCAGGTCTGGTGTTCCCTGGGGCATGGAGGATGGGGCTCACCTACCCTGTTCTTGCTCTGTTCCCTTGGGGTGCTCTGGGGCCTGAGTAAGGGCACCACTAGGGCCTGCCTGCCACAACTTAGGGGTCTGGTGCTCTGTGCCAATGCAGGGCACACTGCTGGGCAGAAACAGTTCGAGTCGAGCCCACGGTGTTGATCTCCCGGGCTCTAGAGATTTCCCACTCTCAACCACCATCAGAAAACCCAAACCTTGGGCTCTCAAAGCCCCCTCCAGTGCCCTTGAGCCTCCTGGCTGGATTGCCTCCCTGAAACCTGGCTGCCTTTTAGTTCTCAACTCTGTTTCAGACCCAGGAGACCAAGAGGGGGCACCCAGGGCCCCACACTGAGTACTGAAGCCTGTCTCTAAGGATAGTTGAGTAGATACTGGCTCCTACCATAGACTGGCAGCTTTGACATCCATCCTGCTGAGGAAGGGGGGGATCTGTCCAGAAGCAAGACTGTTCCACTTGTCCCACCTCCAACCTTCAGGCTTCATTCATTCTCTTCTGCCCCACATTGTGAGTAGGCCCTTGGGGGGTGGTCTCTGCAGCCCTTTATGTCACCCACCATTTTGGGGTAGAGCAGGAGCCCAAGTTTATCAAACCAAATGTGGTTTCTACACGTTGGGTTTGTTTAAAGTGGGGCAAATCCACTCCCAGTCCCCACAAAGAAATGGCTTTAAATGCCCCCACCAAGGAGAAAAGACAAAGTCTAGTCCCAGAGCCAGTGTTTATTAGCAAGGTGGAATCCAAGGGTGGCTGTGGCCTGGGCAGCAGAGGGCCACCAGGAGCCCCCACCCATCTACCCAATTGCCCCCCCAGAGCTATTTACACCCATCCCTGAAGCGGTGGGCATAAGGGAGCCCTGGGGAGCCCCTGCAGGCCCCAGGCTTCCACCATGGCCCCTTCTCCCTCATGGATGGGAGCCTCTCCTCAGCCCCGCCTGTGACTGGCCCCATTCCTATGCTCCCAAGCCTCCGATTCAAGGTGGCACAGGAAAAGCTAAGGAGATAGAGGGGGTCAGCCCTGCCCTGGCCAGGCAGGGAGAGGAGAAGGGGCTGAAGGGGCTGCCCCATCCAGGCAGGACTGTTTCTCCTGTCCCCAATAAATAGAGAATAAATACCTGGGAAGGGGCTGGCCTTGACTGAGAGCTCCCATCCCAGGCAGAGGCTAGCATCCCATGATGGCCCCTTCTTCTCTTCTCTGAGTGCATCTCAGCCCCACCCCAGTCTCTAAAGCGGTCATCGCATCTATGTCTGTACCACAGCACGGGGAGCTGACAGCATACATCAACAAAGGTGTACAGTCCATGCCCTTCCAAGTAGGGCTTGCTCCCTCCCTGTGTCCTGCAGATCTTGGTGGTGGCTGTTGAGCAAGTAGACTTCCAGCTGAATCTGGGGACTGTGTGGTCCTGGTCTGGCCCTGCCAACTGGTTGGGCCTGGTTAGGTGGGCTCTGTTTTCTGCCATCTCTGACCAGCATGGATCTAAGTTTTGGATGACGCTTGCCACTGAGGCAGGCTATATTCAACCCACAAATAAATACTGTCTTTGCAGGGGCAGGGTGTAGAATATAGAATATAGATATTTATATATATATATATATATCTTTTATATTAAAAGGAACAAGGGCGAGGCTGGCCCACTGCAGCGCTCAGGCAGCTGGCCTCATGTGTCCGGAGGGTGGTGCCGGCGGTTCCGGGGCTTTTTCTGGTCCTGGAGCTCAGGAGACCTGGGCGCCCCTGGAGCTTCCCTGGGGCTTGGGGGCATATGACGCCAGTAACCCTGGCAGTACTGGTGGATGAGGCCCACTTCGGGCTGAGCCAGCAGCTGGGCCAGCTCCTGGTAAGGAGGTGTGGGGGGGCCTGCACCTGGGGGTGGCGGGGCGCTCACAGCCAGAGGTGGGAAGAGGGCAGCATGGACGGCATCCCGGCCCAGTACATGTAGCTGCACCCGTGTGACGACATGCTTGAAGTTGTTCTCAGTGGCCGTACAGGAATAGAGGCCACGATCACTGAGCTGCAGAGCACGAAGCAACAAGCCTTGCTCTGTGCGCAGGAAGCGGTCTTCTGCACGAATCTGCAGGGGCAGGAGTGGGGGCTTAGAGGCCATGTGACTACCCTGCCACCCTAGCCTCCCAGGTTAGACCAACTTTGTAGCAGTCCATGTAGAGACACCCATGTGGCATTTCCATGTATCAAGAAAAACCCACGTGAGGTTTCCATGTAATGAGATCTCTGAATAAGGGACCTATGCATATTTTCATTTCAGGAGAGATGCTCACAGGGAGTTTCTGTACAAAGTAAATTTTGGAGCACACACACAGAATTTCCATTTAATGAGAATATCCAATTAGGGTACCCATAGAATTTCCGTGTAAAGAGGGACACCTGTAGGGCATTTCCATAAAATGAGGGCCCCATAGAATTTTCATATATTGGAGCTCCCCCACATGATGTTTCTGTACAAGGAGGTATACCCCAGCAGGGTATGCATATGGAATTTTCATGTAAAGAGGCTACCTATAAATGGATTCTGTATAATGAGGCTTGTCACATGGAATTTCCACATAATTCGTTTTACCCAGAAGATTTGCATGTAGGGGAGAGGGTTTGCAAGGGGTTTCACCGAATGCAGGCTGCCCCAGATTGGCTCGTGTACTACACTTTACCCACTGTACAAGGGACTCCCATATCTATGCTGCAGGACATATGCTGTGGGACACAGGAACTTACCTCTCGGCGCCGGTCCCCGGTATCTCGCTGGAACAGCCACTTAACAGTGGCCTGGGGTGAGCGGGGCTGGCATTCAAGGAAGGCCGCGCTACCTGCCACACCGTACTGCACAGACTCCACGGCATTCTTGTTGGCTATAGAGCAAGAGGGGCTGTGAAAGCAGCATTGCCTCTGGGTTGCCTGCTGGCTGGTTCCAGCAGACATGGAGGGGGACTACCCATAAAGGCAGGGCATCCATTCCTTGAGGGGGTGACCAGGGATATCCCATCTCTAAAATCCCCAGCCCATCACTCCCACCAGCCATCTGAGCATCCTTACAGTGGGGGCCCTGTGGGGCGCTATATGGGCTGTATGGGGCTCTGCAGTGTGAGGAGCATTCAGTGGTGGGCCCAACATACTCACCATTGGAGTTGAACCCACGGCACTGCCTGATGGGGTTTCCATGCCGGACATCCTGCCGGCGGCTCCGCCTGGATGAGGATAACTCCTGAAGGAATGCTCCCAGGAACCTCGCCGCCCCCCAGGTCCCTGGAACCCCATGACTCCAGGGGACCCTGTGTCCCCAGGGCAGGATATCTCACCCATAGACTCTCCCAAGGCAATAACACATCCACCTTCAAACCCCCAGGACAGGGGGTTCTGGTGGCTAAAATCCCAGGGGTCTGGTGGCTAAAATCCCAAGGGTCTGGGGGTCCACACCTCTTGGAGGACGCTGTGTAGCGG